GAGACAAGATGCCTAAGACACTCGTTGTCGGGGCTCAGCTGCCAACATGCTACCTCTGTCAACAAATCCGTAGTGAAGGAAGGTAGTCTATGTTGCAGACAGATCAGAGTTTGAACACAACGGGGCGGACGGGCCAAGTTCTCTGTGTTATTCTTGTCTGTTTGGAATCTGGACTTAAGAGAACTGCAGTCCACGGAACTCGGGACGTTCGGCGCATGGAACGGAAACAAGGACACCCGCAGTCACCATTGGCCTGTTGCGCACGGGTACAGACATATTAGGGCATTGTAGGCCATATACCTAGACTAGGACCTAGACCCCTTCACAGGATACCTGTACTCTCGTATATAGAACACACTAAACTTTACAGGGTGTCTATAACTTTGCGTATACGGTCATACTAAACTTAAAGTTGGGTACCTCAAAAAAGGGGTCTAATGGCACTTATACTCTTCTGTTAGTCCTTACATTTACTCCCCCACTCCCCCTTAAGCGCCAGTAGGGTAAGGTCTCTAAGGGTGCAGGAATCTGCTGGCCCCCTGCACACAATAGCAATAACAGAAGCTGATTAGGGTTCAGGGCTTAGGGATTATACATATATATATATATATTACAATTCTCCAATAATGGAGAAGCAAATGGATATTGAGAATGCTGGAAAGGAGATTCAACCTACCAATCAGAATGAGCATGCTATAACAACCGCGTGATGGTCAAGAGGTCCTTACTTGGCGAATGAGGTTTTCAAATTCCTCCAATGTGAACCATGGAAATCGGAGCTTTAATTGCAAAGCTTGACTCTGACACCTCATGCCGATTCTAGCCAACAGCCACGAAATCTTAAAACCTATCGTGACTACACGAAGCCCATTTAAATGCTCAAACCCCAGACCCCAGGCCGCAAAATCCTTCTGAGCCTGGACCTCCATGACAACAATATACTTCTGCCTGAAATAGGAGGAGCGAAACTAGAATGATCTCCACAGTTTGCCTATCCCCCTTCAACAAGGCGCAGAGAAGTGGCCTGCTATGATTACAGCGCTGGCGCTGGAGGCAGTACTGCCGGAACTAAGTCCTTCGGCCAGTTTGGCTCAGGAAGATGAGGTTAAGTGGTTAAGCATTCAGAATCCTTCAGAATTGAGGCTTGGAAGGGTCCATTCAGGGTCACGAGTCCTGTGCTGGAAGCAATAACACGAATGGTACTAAGTTTAGCCTGCACACTGCAAAACCAACATCATTCGATTTGCCAACTATCGCATACTACACGCACACATAGAGAAAGTCAGGATTTCATAGCTACCAGGCATGTCATGCCGCGAGAGGCCCTTGAAGGGGGTGCAAACATGACAGCTTGGATAGCCCTGCTTGCAACTTCACGGCTTCTCAAACTCCAAGCCTAAAATCTAGAGCGCATAAACGCCACCCCATACCTGTACCCTATTGTCCCGCGGTGGTCTCCACACATCTGCACTTAAAGGCCCACGTAGAGGCTGAACAGGCACTTTGGCAATGCTGGGTCTTCGGGTTGCAAGGCGAATCAATCTTTGCCCAGGACCCGAGTGTGGCAGAGAAAATGACCAAATCAAGCGTGCCACTGATGAACCCAAACAGCAGCTTCCATTGACCCGGCCAAACCAGCCCGATAACAGATTTGAGGTGAAGTTTCTGGTGATACGAAATAAACTACAGTATCTCTTGGCAGCTTTCCGGCTCCGTTCAGCACCGTCAGCTTTGCCCCCCAACGTACCTTCCCCACAGCCTGTACGACTGGTCGGAATCACGCTATGCATCTTATGGCACATGTAACGGAGAATCATCGTCCCATGATTCAAGCCGAAGTTCTGTAAGATCGGGATGTAAGGGTGAAACTTGCAACGTTTAAATTCTAGGAGCGAACCGTGAACTTCAACAAAGCGTGCAAATGCTCAAGCCAAGCCATCCGTACATTGGCTACAATTTCATTGCGTTAGCCAACCAAAATCCCGTGCACGACGACAAAAGCGACTAATCCAATCAAACTGGCCGCTAGCCCATTCAAAAGCCTGCGCGGTAGCTGAGCGGTCAACTACATTGCTTACTAAAGGCTATAGTATAGGCAGTATAGGTCTTGGCACACTGGTCATGCAGCATAAATGCTGCCAGCAGCCTATCGTGGGCGGTAGCTTCTAGGGCGCTTCAATAGTTGCGAGAAATAGCATGCTGACGGTCACGATTGTTAATAGCAGCAACACTGTGCTGGACCTCTACATAGCAGTGACATGAGAGTCGGCTAGGGGCTTATGAACTTGCTTGGCCTCGAAGGGGCTCTCAGTCAAAGTATAGGTGTACATGTATACTGGAAATGCAAGCAATCAGACCCTTATCATTCCTGATTAGGTACATCGCTACCACTTAGTCCAAAGGTGTAATCGTGCAGGCGGGACCAGGACTTTGCTTTCGTGGCCGCCGGCTGCATCGAAATGGCCTTCATCAGGCCTGCGCGGCTCGGAGGTTCGTAGCATTTAGGATTTCAAGGCCTTGAGACTAGGGATATCGGGGCTTCAAGAATGTGTCAGGTCGCAGGACTTGGATTTGGTTTCGTAGGGTTAAGGTTCCAGGTTTCAGAGCGAAGGGTTCCTTTAAAGGCGGTGGAAATTCTTTGTATATAGCTAAATGCAACTGAGGACAAACATTCGCAAATAACGGTCAATGCGGCACACCAACTGTGTGATGAGCAGCACAAAAGCATCATTTGAAGCGTAGTCAGCAAATGGTCTGGTAGGTCGGGTTTGGCGTGGGAACACGTAACTGCTATCTCCAGCGATTGTACTGTTTGGAAAGACTAGCGTTCCCACCACTCAGATCTGAAAATGACGCTTCAAGGCCCAGCAGGGCTCAGGCTTCAAGGTTTGGAGCTTGGTTTGTGTGAATCCAAAGCCCGGAAACCAGAAATCTTCTCTGCGCATACGCACGCACTTGCAGTGCCGGGCGAGCATCCGGAGGAGCAGGAATAGCATCAACAGCAGTATGGTACAAAACAAAGCGACAAAACGTCTTTACAAGAACAACCTATACTTTGGACTAACGATCCCAGGAAAAGCAAGTGTACATGACCCCTCCAATAAGAAACTCGTCCTGAGGCCTTCTTTCCAGGTTAAAACAAAACCTAGACGGTTTCCCTCCCCCCCCGCGCCGAAGGACTGCGGCAAACTTTCGAAGCCGGAGCTCCACACGGACATCTTGGCCTCAAGCACAGGTAAAGACCAGGGGGTCTGTCGCTTAGGATCAGAGTTTGCCAAAGCATCCATGTAGATATATCGTATATATGAAGGGTTAAGCCCGAGCAAAAAACTATACCGCTACATGGACCCTTTGGGTCTATGCAGGGGTCGAGAGGCCTTACATTTTATGGGGTACGGTCTCGGGCTGATGCGTTTCAGGACTTTTGCACTTTAAAAAGATTCTTGCAAGGCTCACAGTAGACGAGCATATGATTGCTGTGGGCCAGGTACATGCGAATCCCTCCCCTAATGAAACATGTTTCCAAGACGTTACCCTACATGCTGAGGGAATAGTTATTGTTGCAGAACTGCTTGAGGAGGGGGTTCGGTTTGGGGGAGAGAGGATCATAAAGGGAGCTAGGGCCCGGTTTGAGAACTCATGGACAGGCTGAGGTTTAAAGATGTTGTTCGGACGTTTCAAACTCAGGAAATTAGCGGAATCCCTGTGTGATTGTATGAGGCAGTTCTAGAAAAATAGATGGTGAGCAAGCATGGAGAATCCTTACTGTGCTGACTTGAACAACTTTATGTGAATGTATGGCTAATCATGGCTAATCTAACGTCTTCCATCCTTGAAAAGCCAGCATGTTTTGCGTTGATACCGTCATGAACCAGAGCTTGGGGTGAGGTTGGCAGAGAGCGCTATAATGTGACCTGTGTCTTGCCACCAGGGAGCTCAGCATATCCAGCTCCACTGCCAGGCCCTGACAAAGGATGACCAAAGCTATGACGCACGGAGTCAGGCTTGGAATGGAAAGTGTAGTGTGCTCCGGGACTCCGAACTATTCAAGGGGTCGGAGAGGGTGGAAGAAATAGTCATGCCCGAAGCCGGAAGCATCATACATTGCCTTGCTTGCTGGGCCGAACAATAGTGTGACAACGGATCAGCACGAACTTGATGTACCCACAGGCAGCTGCAGCACATACAGGCTCTCTTGGTTTGGCTTTGCTCTGGATGCGACCTTTAGACAAGAACCTGGTCGATAAGAAACAAACTAATTGTTGGTGCCTCTTCTTACTTAGCCCAACAGGATGGCTTGCCATTCTGGGTCGTTTGCAGGAACAAATCTGCAACACTCGACGTGCACCACCAGGGCTTCTGCGAAATGTGCTCAATTCATCGTTGCCACGAGCCCAGTTTGCAAAAGACGTGTATGACAAAGAGTGTTGCAACTTTAGTGCGTGACAATCAAATCCTGTTGGATTCTCGCTCCTGCACGCACCAAGTACACAGGATCTTATCCTGTGCTGAGAAAGCATATGAAAGGTGTTGCTCAATGTCAACAAGGACAACTGTGCGCCATGGAGAGCGCCCTCACACCCCAAGCATAAGCTCTACTGCTGCATGCGACCTGGCAGAATCAAGCACCCAAAATTCAAGTACCCCAGCATCATGGGAAACTCCCCTGTGCGCATAAATCCCTACCAAAAGGTGCCAGAGACCCAGAAGACACTACATAAGGGGCTTTCGGGAAGCGCTTTGACAAAGGCTTCCGGCGTACCACAGTAATTGTTGCGTTTCTGGCATGATACGATTCCAAGCCGAGGGCCTCAAAAAACAACTACACAGTAAACCGCGGAAGAATCTGAAAGACTCATCACACAGTCCGAGATTTTATGAATGCACGCGATCAGGCGCTTGATCCCCAAAGGGTTCCAAAAGTGCGACCTGGATTTTCTTCAGGGCAACAAATCATAAACCCAAGCCGGAATGCAAAGTCGGCTTGGAAGGTGATTTCTTCAGCCCCGGGCTCGACCAACAACAGTGATCCGCTCTGGGTCCAACACGCAATCCTCCTCCTTTCCAGACGGAACCATCCCACATCTCGGGGGAACCCACGCAGTGTCATAGCCAGCTTGCGCCCAGGAATTCTGCATCGGATGGCCCTGGCGGTCAATTCGTTTGACGCGGCCCACCTCGACAGTGACTTCTAGCACGACTGGACCGTACTTCATTGCCTTTTCGATATCTCTTGAAACGTAGACGCCAGGTCCTAGCATACCTGTCTCAGATGGCTGGAAACCTTCCCTCTCGATACGTTCTGCAGCTTCGCGCGATGTACCGTGGTACATTGTGTAAACCTCCGGGCGTGGTGATCGAGACCGATCGCGTGCCATCGGCCTTGAATCTGGGAAAAGAGCTCGATGGATCTGATCCAGGTCTCTCAAGCAGTCCAAGCTGATCAAATGATTGATCAGGCGCTTGGGCCGACTGCCAACTCCCGGCTCGAAGAAGAATGCAAAGTCTTTGTTGTAATCCACCGTTCTGTCGAACCTTAAGATCTTATTGATGCAGGCGCATCGCTTCTGGTCTATTGCAGCATTCCCGCTTTCAAGAACTGTGCCTTTTGGGCGCGCCGCCATAGCATCACAGTGCGGTTGACAGCAAATCTCTACGTGCGGGGTGCCCCGGTAGGCGGAAGATGACAGGGTTGGCGTTGATACACGGGTTCATGTAGGGCATAAATGTTAATTATGACTGCTTTAAAAGTGCCCGGAGCATTTGAGCAACTCAGACGTTCAAGGGAGGTTGCAGTGCAGACTTTGGCCATACTAAGCCCCAAGAACCCTAAAACCTGTGTCCCGTGCAAAGCCAGTAAAATCCCTGATCTCACAACATGATCCACAACTGGGCTTCTGGTAGCTAGGCCACGTGGCCTTTGGGTGCCATGTACAAAAGCAAGGCAATGTTGGGGAACACTGCAAGGAGGACTTCCATTGATTGCCTTACGGGGAAGTGGGGAAGTTGTAGGTTAGTAGCGGTGTTTGGCAATGGATTCTTTCCAGGCTTCTAAGACCTCACCTTATGCTATAGAGCCCTCGATTCATGTACGGACCGTGCACAGACAGCTATCGTTTTGAGAAACTGGCTGAGAAACTGTTGGGACTAAATCACGAATGCCAAGCTTCCTACGCCCATAGCTGATGCTGCCCTGTGAGCTCCTGGCTTTTGAGGAATCTGCTAGGGACTCCAAGCAACCATGTACTGCCCCGCCTTGTGGAACCAGGTCTCTTCTGTCACCAACGCGCTGATTGGGCTCTCTGTGAGCCCAAAGAGGTTCCTTGCTGAGACGACCCTGGGTCTGGGCGGGGGTGTGTGTGGATGATGACTCTATGGATGACGAGAAGGACTTTGAGGATTGTGGGCTGACTGCCTTTACGGATCCTGTCAAAACTCCAGGTATCTATACATGTATACACGTATGCTTTGCACTTGTGGTCTGCAAGGGTTCTCCTTCGGGTACGCAAAAGCCCATGCAAACTTGCACATTTTGCAACTCTTGTTGTGTGAACCTTGAGGGGGGGTTGTAGAGAGGGGGAGAGGAAACGCAATTTCCCTTTTGTTGGGTGGGCACAGCACGCAATGTAGGTGTCAGGAACATGAGCCTGGGGGAAAAAGGCTTGAGGTGTCTGGCATTTTCCCGGGTTCTGCATGTCTTGCTCACAACATTGGTAGAAACAGGCACAGAGCTAGAGGCTTTACCTGCAACCAGGCTCTCTAGACCATGATTCCGTGATAGTTCGCTGTGGCAGCACACACCCGCAACCAATCAATCTTGACGCCCACGGCACCTGATACACCATTCCTTTGCCTGGAACCTGAACCAGCACTCCGTAGAAATCTCATGTGTAATCGCGCAACTCGACTGCTGCCATCTCAAAAAGCCCAATGTTGACTTGAGTTCCTGTCAAGCTGCAGCATCGCCTGAAGCTCCGTTTCTTGAATGACGTTGCCGGCCTGTCAGTTTGCTAACCAAACTCTGGGGGACTGGGGCTTGGGGCTCCAGTCCTTTAGGTTTGTGTGGGCCAGCACGGTAATCCTTGTGAGCTGCCATGTCTAGGAACCAAGAAGGGCATCAAGGGAATTCTGGAGATATCTGGCAGAGATTCTTTGGAAGGGATTAAGTTTTTGCAAGGCTTTAAGGATCTTTACGGCAACTCATTACTGGCCTGTCAACATCTGGGGGGACGTCTGCAGCTGATTTGGGTCCCCAATAAGACTGTCTTTGTAGGCGTACGCGGTGTTTTCACGGATCATGAGAATGGCTCCAGTTCAATGATGCGGGAGTCGCCACGAATCCAAACTAATCAGAGACCTCAACAGTGTTGCGAAAGCCCTGTACAGAGTGATAGATTGAATGAGCCCCGACCCTACATACTAGGACTGGCAGCTTAAACAAGTATTATGTCCAACTGTGCCCAGGTACCGAGCAAATCTCCGAAACTCTTCCCGAGAAACTCCCACGTGCACTAGGTTCAAACCGGACTATCCGCCGACCCCGCTCTGCGGGTCGAGCGCCGGGGAAGCCCTCTGTTCCATTTCTTGGGACCTTCAGGGAGTCTGGGGAGTTGTTGTGCAAGAAACGGGTTTTGGTGTTGCCACAACATTCGTCCAAAGTTAGGACGTAGTCTTATTTGCGACAA